TTCGTTCTGTTGTGTTTAGGGTTCTATGAGTTGGTACTGACTCAATGGCACCTAACGATAACAACAACAACAACAACAGAATCATTGGGTCAAAGGTGAAATGATGTTTTTATTGGAGACATCTAAATAGCAATGAAGCAACTTAATTTTTTTTTTACAGCTTTTTAAGTAAATAGTGGGAAAGATAATATTATAAGTAAATCGTTAATCAATAAATTGTGTTTTCTGGACCACACTGAGAACTGTTAACTATTTTTTAATCTGAAGACTTTAGCTCAAAGTCTGTTTATAATAGAAGAGATGATTTGTAAATTGGTTAAAGGTACTTTCTTTATGTCTTTGAATGGGGGGGAAGAACCTGCATGGGTTCATATAAGCATTTACAGTGTCAGAAATCCTAAGGAGCAGTTCCACTCTGTCCTATAGGGTCTCTATGAGTCCAAATTGACTTGATGGCAGTGGGTTTGGGGTTGAATGGTGGGTTAGAAGTAGTAGCAGGGTAGCAGGGACAAGGCAGCCCTTCATTAAATTTCCCCTTTTCATGTCTGCAATCTTGGTCTGGGAAGTATGTAACTTGGGTATTACTGTCTATTGGACTTGGTCACAGATGACTTTCATTGAATTAGGAAAATCCTATTCAACAAAACTTGACTCTTCTTTTTAGAGCAGTCTCTTAGCAGGTTCTTCTAAAATGGTGATGCTGTTGCTTCTGAGTGTGATTTCTTTGAACAAGTTGGGAAGAAAACTAGCCACTGTATCAATCCATCTCATTGAGGGCCTTTGCCCTCTTTTCTTCTGACCTTATACTTTAATCAGGCAGTGTGGTGGCTCCACAAGATAAGCACTGGATTCTCAACCACAGTGTTGATGGTTTGAGCTCAGTAGCCACATTGCAGGAGAAAGATGAGGCTTCTACTCCCGCTAAAATATTTAAGGATGAGGTCCTATATTGGGCTGCTATGAGTCAAAATTGACTCCATGGCACAACAACACTACTTTACCAAGCATGATGTCCTTCTCAAGGGACTGGCTCCTCCTGATAACATGTGCAAAGTATGTGAGGTCTCACCACCTCATTTCTAAGGAGCATTCTGGTGGTACTTATTCTAAGACAAATTTGGTTGTTCTTTCGGCAGTCTATGGTACTGCGAATGTTCTTGTTGTTGTTGTTAGGTGCCATCGAGTCAGTACCAACCCATAGCGACCTTATGTACAGCAGAACGAAATACTACCTGATCCTGGGCCAACCTCACTATTGTTGCCATGCTTGAGTCCATTGCTTGCTGCCACTTGGCCAATCCATCTCATTGGGGGTCTTCCTATTTTCCTCTGACCATCCACCTTACCAAACATGAGTGAATATTCTTACAACATCATAATTCAGATTCAACCATTATTCTCTGCCGGGGTCTGGCCTCGGCAAGGGGGTGGGTACCCGAAGATGGGGTGTCCGGTGACGATAGCGAGAGAGAGAGAGATAGAGAAAAAACAGACACAAAGAAGACAGAGAAAACAGGTACAAAGAAGACAGACACACAGGCTTGATGCAAGCTGCCAGACAGACTGCTCAGTGGCTGACATTTTCCCTTCTCGGACTAACTCTAGGTGGGATGTCTGGAGAGGCGAGAGAGAAAAGAAACACTTGGAGACCAGAGTAGATGCAAATCCGGCAGACAGCCTTTTCATACCCTGCAAGCAATAATGCCCGCAGACTTAAGTCTGTATCCGTCTTTTATTTCCTCTATTTCAGGGAGGGATCTTTACAGAAGAATGGTATTATTCAGACAAGACAATCTTTAAGATAAGTTAAGCCAGTAAACCTTACTTAAACCAATATTCCTTTCTTCCTTACTGGGTTTAACCTTCACTTGGATCAAACTGATTGAACCCAGGGTGGTCTGAGGGAGTTGCCCCCATTGTCCTTAATCCGTATTCCAAGAATTTACCACTCCACCCCAAGTGAATATACCAGGGGCAGTTCCTCTCCAGAGCCTCCCTGCTTAATCCCAGTAAACCTGTCCTTGTTCATCCTCTGAGGAAGTTTTACTGCCTTGGTTTTAGGGGGAAAATCTTGACCTTAGAAACTTAGGGGAATATTGCATTTCTCTGTGGACATCCAGGGCTCATGTTTGGAATTAAATAAAAATAACTGAACACTAAGATGAAAAACAATTTGCTATTAACTGCCAAGTGGCTAGATCTGTTACACTCGGGCCTATAGGGCCTCGAACCTCTGCACGGTCTGCAACAATTCTCCAGTTTTCTTTATTTATTGTCCAACTTTCACATGCATATGAGGCATTTGAGATTACCAGGGCTTAGTTTAGATGCACTTTAGTCCTCAAAGGTGATATCTTTGCTTTTAAACACTATTTAAAGACTCTTTTGTTGCATATTTGCCTAATGCAGCATGTTGCTAGATTTCTTGAATACTACTTCCGTGGGAGTTGATTGTGGATCCCAGTAAAATGAAATTGTGACAACTTCAATCGTTTTTCCATTAATATGGCATTGCTTATACGGTTAGGGCTGTGAAGATTTTTTTGTTTTTAAATTGAGATGTAATCCATACCGAAGGCTGTAGTCTTTGATTTTCATTTCCTTTGATCTTCATGTCTTGGCTTTCGACAAGCAAGGTTATATCCTCTGCATATCACAAGTAGTTAATGAGTCTTCCTCGAATCATGATGCTGTATTGTTCTTTATGTAGTTCAACTTCTCAGCTTATTTGCTCAACATACAAATTATTTGCTCAACATACAGTATGGTGAAAGAATATAAACCTGACACACAACTGTCTAGATTTTAAACCAGAGCACACAGTATCCCCTAGTTCTGTTTGAATTACTACCTCCTGGTCTATGTATAGTTTCTGTATGAGTATAATGAGTTTCGGGAGTTCTCTGCTTTCAGCCATGACCTATTTGACGTCAGCAATGTATTTCTCAATACATGTCCTCTTCTGAATCCAGCTTGAATTTCTGGCAGATCCCTATTAATGTACTGCTGTAACCATCTTTAAATGATCTTCAGCAAAATTTTATTTGCATATGATATTAGTGATATTGAGTGATAGTTTTTGCATTCTATTAGATCACCTTTCTTTGGAATAGTCACAAATAAGGATCTCTTATCAGTTAGTTGGCTAGGAAGCTGTCTTCCAAATTTCTTTTAAGGCTTTTATTGTGGATTGAGTGAACATTTACAGGGCAAGTCTTCCAGGTTTCTTATTGTAGACGAGTGAGTACTTCCAGTGATGCATCCATTTGTTGAAACATCTTGATTAATATTCTATCAGTCCCTGGAGCTGTGCTTTTTGCCAGTGCCTTCAGTGCAGCTTGGACTTCTTTCTTCATACCATCGGTTCTTTTTTTTATTTATTTAAGGTTTTTATTATGGATTGAGTAAAAGTTTGCAGGGCAGATCATCAGTGTTGTATTCAACTAATCACACACCTTGTTTCATTACAATGATTATAATCTCCTCCATGTACCATCTGTTAGCAGCAGTGTTTCTCTCTATTCACTTTAGTTTAGTTTTTTTTTTAATCACTCAGGCGTATATAATAATTTACACCACCAAAGGGCACATTCTGCAAGTCTGCCTCCTGGCCGCCATCCCTTAGAACCTCTCTTCCCAGTCCTCAGCTGCTCACTTTCTCCATGTCCCCATCTCTGTCTCCATCTCCAATGTCGCTGCTTCTCTGGATAAGGTCCCACATTCTGCTTGTGCTCTTTTCCTTTGATGGTCCTAGGGTCCTTTGTTTCTGGATTGTAAGATTAACTACTCCCCCATTTTTGTTACAAAACTTCTACCTTTACAATTGTGACAGTCATAATTAGTCATGATAACAATTATTCACTATTGAATCATAAGAATCTTATCCCCAACTCTTTTAACCAGACCCATCTAGATAAGATGAAAACTATTCAGTGGGGACTCTATCTTCCCCTGCACACTCTTAAACTACACAACCTCTTGAAAACTTGTAAGCCAGTCACTTCGTGCCTTTATCACCCTCTTATTTTAGGTAGCCAATGTCTAAGTTGCTCATTACTGTCCATAGGCTCAGGTGTCCCCAGGTCTCAACATACTTTGGACCAACCAGTCCTTCTTCTGTCTCTCATCTCTAGGTCCACAGGAGTCTGTGGAATGTGGTTGAACTCAGCCCATTTCTTCATTGCTGCCTTTCCCCCTCTTCCCCTCACCAGTAGACCAACATGGGTACCAGCAAGTTTACATTACTGTTCATGTGTTCCCTTTGAGTTTCAGTCTTAGAGGGGCATACCATCGGTTCTTAATCATATGCTGCCTCTTGAAATGACAGGATGTCAATAAATTCTTTTTGGTACACTTACTCTGTGTATTTCTTCCATCTTCTTTTGATGCTTTCTGCATCAGTCAATATCTTGCCCATAGGATTTTTCCGTGTTGGAACTTGAGGATTGATTTTTTTGTTGTTGTTGTTTCAGTTTAATGGAAAACAAAACTTTATCATTTAAAAAAAACAAAACCCAGTTGCCACTGAGGCAATTCCAATTTTAGTGATTCCCCGTGTGTGTCAGAATAGAACTGTACTCCACAGTGTTTTCAGTGACTGATTTTCCTAAAGTAATTACCAGGTCTTTCTTCCCTGGTACCCCTGTTAGCAGTCAGTGACCAACTATGCTAACTCTTTTGTTCCACTCAGGAGTTCCCTCTCATTTATATAGTTCGTCTATGCCTGTTGATAAAACCTGTTTGTTGACCATTACCTGAATATTGCATGACATGTTAAATTATGAGTGGAAAAAAGTCTGTGCAAGATTACATGAGTGGCTTATCTGTATTAATGATTCAGGTGGCTGACAGATAATCACTGTGTATATAATTTGCTGTATCTGAATCACTGTTGCATGCCAGGTTATTGAATAAAAAGCTTTTTTAATGGTTTCATCTGTGTAGTAATTGGTGTTTTAGATATCGTTCATATTTGTAAAGTCATTCTTTTTTATACTCAGCTGTCAAAGGTTGAAAAACAGCAGCAGCGGAAAGAAAAGACCAGAGCCAAGGGACCTTCTGAATCAAGCAAAGAAAGAAACGCTCCTCGGAAAGAAGACTGCAGTGCCAGCAGTGGGGCAGAGGGGGATGTGTCGTCTGAGCGGGAGCCATAGGCATAAGAAACAGGGAACTCAGGTAAGAGTGCCCTAACTCCAGATATTTCTCTCTTCTCATTATGAGGAAACAATGAGCAGAGGACAGAATGACTTCTGTATTAATTATCTAGTGCTGCTATAACAACTACTCAGAAGTGGATGATTTTAATAAACGATTTTATTCTCTCACAGTTCAGGGGCTAGAAGTCCAAATTCAGAGCATCAACTCCAGGGGAAAGCTTTCTTTCTCTATGCTGACTCTGAGGGGAGTGATGGTGGTGGTGGTGGTGGTGGTGTGCCACCAATTGGTTCCAACTCATAGCAAACCTGTACTGGGTTTCTGAGCCTGTAAATTTTTACAGGAGCAGAAGCGTCATCTTTTTCCAGTGGAATGATTGGTAGATCTGAACTACTGATCTTATGGTTAGCAGCCCAGCTCGTAATCCACTATAGTTAATCCACTGTTATAGTTAATCTTCCCCTGGATCTATGAGTGTTTCAGCACACAGATATTGGGTCCAAAGGAATAACAAATTGAAGAGGAATGGCATCACATTCATTGTTAAAATTAACTTTTTAAGATATATCTGGAAATACATTTGTGGCTGTGATAGGATTACCTATAGCCATACAGGGAAGACAAATTAATACAACTGTTATTCAAATGTAAGCACCAACAACAAAAACAAATGATGATGAAATTAAAGAATTCTACTAACTTCTTCAGTCTGAATTGATCAAACATGCAATCAAGATGATTGATAACTGGTGATTAGAATGTAAAAGTTGGAAATAAAGGGACGGGATCAGTAGTTGAAAAATGTGGCCTTGTTGATAGAAATGATGCTGGAGATCACATGATAGAAATTTTCAAGACCATTATTATAAAAGTTTAAGAAAAGATACCCATACTAAAAGAAAAATAAATAAATTTTTTGTTGGTTGGGTGAGGGGAGGGCAGGGTTGCAGAGAGGGAGGGGACAGTAGAGCACAAGGTAGGGAATAGCTACATCATAGTCTGGATGTTGGGGCATGCAATACACAAGAATTGGGAGGGGGATGGAAGAACATAGATAGGGGAACACGGAAGCAGGTTTGCATGAGCTAAATGGAACAGAGGTAAATAGTAATGTATGCTCAACCTTGGAATAACAGGGCTCTGTGCTACAGGGATTGAGGTATAGACTAAATGGGTAAAAGAGGGGAAATGATGTTAAGATGCTTGACTGTCTTATGAATATTGATTTCCTTTGCCTCTCACTGTAAAATAGACGCTTGAGTGGGATAGAAAGGATTATCAGGTAACATGATTATGGAAAACTTGTCAGCCTGTCTTTAGCCTATAACTGAAATACCTAAAAGGGGTTCTAGAATTTGCCCAGTAAAATAGCCTTCCTGTGGAGCCTTTGTAGTCTATAGGACCTAAGGTGGAATCCTAAGCCCCATCCAGAACCCTCTGAGGTAGGACATTCCTACTTGAAAGGACAAGTAGACCAGCCTGGAATAGCTAGAGGAACAGAAGATACTTCTTGAAAGAAAGACCAGCAGGAAAAATCCAAAACAAAAATGGTAGTCTGATTGGCTACTACAAGAATAAGTAAGGTGTTAGCTGGGGAGCCACCAAGACAAGCAATCAAGTCTCTTTAAGACAAATCCTCCTCCAAGACTGAAACTCAAAAGGGAACACACAAGCAGACATGTAAGTGCTGGCGACCATATTGGTCTACTGGTGAGTGAAATAAGGGGAAAGGCAGCAATGAAGATATGGGTCGAATTTGACCACATTCCATAGACTTACATTGAGCTGGAGATGAGAGATCAAAGAGGACGGGTTGATTAGTCAGAAGCGTGGTGAGCCCATGTGGACTTCTGAGCCATGTGGACAAGGACATAGCCACAGAAGGCTGGAGCTGAGAGCAAAACGCCCAGGTGATGTAAAGTGAGGGGAGATGCACAAGAATGCCCAAACTTGTAGATAGTACCTACTCAACCTGGCCTTCGATGTCTTGATGACTGGAACTCGACCAGAGGCAGATAAAAGAAAACAACAGCAACAAACAACCCTTTTTCTTCTTCTTCTTCTTTTTTTTTTTGATAAAGAAAAGAAGTGTAAATTGCTACAATTTGATGAACTTGACCTACACTGTGGATGTAGTAGTTCAAAATACCAACTGAGAGGGAAGGAGTCTTCACATCCAAAATCAATCCCATCTCTCCTGTCTACAGGGTTGATAGAGACAGGCAACTTAGACATTGGCTACCTAAAATGGGAGAGGCTATAAAGGCACGAAGTGACTGGCTTACAAGTTTTCAAGAGGGAGTTTAGTTTCAGAGTGTGGGGGAAGGTAGAATCCCCACTGAATAGTTTTCATCTTGCCTAGATGGGTCTGGTGAAAGGAAGGATATAGGATCCTTATGATTCAAAGTGAATAATTGTTATCATGAGTAATTGCGACTGTAGATGGGTCTGGTGAAAGGAAGGATATAGGATCCTTATGATTCAAAGTGAATAATTGTTATCATGAGTAATTGCGACTGTCACAACTGTAAAGGTAGAAGTTTTATAATAAAAAGAGGGGAGTAGTTAATCTTACAGTCCAGGAACAGAGAACCCTAGGACCATCAAAGGAGAAGAACATGAGTGGAATGCACAACCCTATCCAGAGAAGCAGTGACACCATTGATAGAGGCAGAGATGAAAGTATGGAGAGAGCGAGCAGCCGAGGACTCTAAATTCATGAAAAGAGAAAGGCTGTGTGCTGGCAGCCAGGTGCTGGTGGCCAGGGGGCAGGCTTGCAGAATGTGTCCTTTGGTTGTTTAAATTATTATACATTCCTGAGTGTTTTTGTGTATACCACCTCCCCCCCCCCAAAAAAAAAATAACAACAACAATAACAAAAAAAACAACAGAGGGAATAGAAGCTAATACTGTTGAATGATGATGCACAGAGGAGATTGTAATCATTGCAATGAAATGATGAGTTTAAAACTGATGTTTCCCCTATGTAAACTTATCATTCAAATCACAATAAAAAATTTAAAAATATATATTACAATGAAATATGCAGAAACCTGGTGTTAGAAAACCAGAAGGGAAGAACATGCTCAGCATTTCTCAAGCTGAACCAACTGAAGGAAAAATTCAAGTCTCAACTTGAAATATTAAAGGGATTCTTTGGCCAACATATTGAACAATGCAGGAAGCAGCAGCAGCAGATGAAAAAAAAAAAAAAAAAAGCACAGTAAACTGTACTAAAATGAATTGGTCAATGCTCAGCAATTTTAAGAGGTGCCATATGATGAAGAACCAAGGATATTCAAGGAAGAAGTCCAAGATGCCTTGAAGGCATTGTTGAAAGCATGGCTCCAGCAATTGAGAGAATGTTAACTGAAATGTTTCAACAGAATGATGCTGGCAGTACTCACTAGTCTATGCCTATACTGAAAAATTTTGAAGACAGGTTCCTGGCCAGTGGACTGAAAGAGATCTATATTTGTGCTCATTTCAAAGAAAGGTGACCCAATAGAACGCAGAAATTATCCAACAGTGATAATGGTTCAGGATACAGAAGATTAAAAAATCATGAAATGCAGTTTTAAAGAGAGTTCTCAGAGTATGGAAAATAACCTGCAGGAGAGACATTTCATGGGCAGCAGAACCTCCCTGTGCTCATAGTCTAAGGTGTTTTTATAGTGAGGGGTTAAGCTGCGGAGGCAGTTCTGACAGATTTCAGAAAAGGGTTGCTGAAAACTGGGTAAGGGGAGGTTAATAGGTAGCTGATGGTTAACAACCCCAGCTGGGTAGCTGAATTAGGGAGGGAGGATTTTCAAACCTTGCTGGGTTTCAGACACACAAGGAGATAGTTTTTCTTCTTTAATCTTGTTTATGTTCTACACCCATGTTCTTTGTATTTGGAGGTTTTGTTTTGTTTTTAATGGTTCTGTTGATCTTTCCCCCTGCTGTCACTACTGATCTTTTCCTTGGTGATTTTCCTCCTGTGCCCTTACCCTAACTTTTAACCCCCGCAAAAAGACTTGCAGCAGCTAAAAATTTTTTTGAGGGCAAAAAATGGAGGTCTCATTTTCTGGCTACTTTTGGCTGGCACTGGGCCATAGATCTGCCTAATGTGGTAGAAGTCTCTCTCTGCCTGTGCTAAGAGCCCTGGAAGAGGCATGGTAGAAGGGTGGTAATCTTGTGAAATCAGCATTTGTAGGTGAAGATCCTGGAACCTACAGGAAATCAGCCTAGTAAATAGACTGAGGAAGCAGTGGCCGAATAGTAAGATGCATGTGAAGAAGAAGGAAAAAAGTGAGAATAAGAGAAGATAGAGACCAAAGCTCCAGGACTGGCTTCTTACAGATCAAGGCCTAGCAGTAGCTGGGATGTCCTAAGGCCTCGGAGTCAAAAGCACAGTTAAATATTTCATTGACTAGCATCTTAACTTTTGCAAAATTATTGATATACAATCATTGGGTGGTGTTTACCATTGGTGCAGACACCACCTTGAGAGGCAAGCAGATACTCAAGTGCTTATGTGGTTATCTAAAACTACATTACCTAATGAGTTCAGGGATCCTCACATTTCTTCTAAGGCTACTCCTGAGTCATTAGAGAGAAGTTTGAGTTCTGCAGTGAGGTTGGAGATGAATTTATGCTCAATATACCCTGCCCAAGGGACTGCAGACATAAATATTTCCTGCCCCAAGATAAGATACTGTCTAAGAAGCTACTCTGGCATCGAGCCCATGATGAGGAGAGGGCATAATCATAAAGGAATAGCTGGGGCACTATGTATCCTAGAGTGCACTGGCTATGTATAAGATGAAGGCTTAGGCATTGAGTAGTAGTGAGGCCCATTGCATTTGGAGAGACTGTACTATTGCAAAGATTGTTTGTGTAGGCACGTAGGAAAGTTATGCCTTGGGGCGGGGAGGAAGGGCACTGATAGTATTGGTTTTCATTCACAGTTTAAAGGTGGCAGAGTTGGAGGAATTGGTTGGCCACCAATTCTTAAAGT